TGTGGGATGATATTGCTATACTCGCTAGATATCTACTTATGCTTTCATTCAACAACTGTTTAGATGGTAAGTTCTCACAACTGTTAAATGACTTCACTGTCACACAAATATGATACATGGTTTAGAATATGAATCTGCACAGTATTTGTGGACCAGTGAACTGTGTATTCATTTTTGCCTCTTTTTTAAAAAATCATCAAATATCAAGCATTTCTGGCATTTATGAATGGATTTCATTCAAACTTGATACATACATTAGACATTACGGGTTCCTGATGCACATCATTTTATTTTTCAGATTGGATTCAAAATGGCTGACTGGCGGCCATTTTGTTTTAATGATTGGGCTTCTAGAGCCATATCTCTTAAATGCTTTGACTGATTATATTCAAATTTTATATATTCGTTATACATCTTGTTATATATATACATGTATTCAAAATGGTTGATTTTGAATGCTGTTCCAGAGCAATATCTCTCAATATGGACAAGTACTTGTTTGACGATCAGATAAAAATGTCAATTATTTTAATGTTAAAAAATCATATTCCTGACATGGTTATATTCTAGCTATATTACTATAAAAAAAATATATATCTTAAATTTGATAACTAACAGGGACTGTGCCATGCATGGCTTGTTTCTACCATATGTAAATACATAAAACTTAATCTTTACCATGTATGTATGTCTCTGTTCCACTGATATCTCAAGGAGCACAAATGTTAATAAACAATCATTATGTATTTTACATGTGTTGTCTACGTCGCTATCAGTCCCATATCGAACAGGACACAGCATGAAGACCACTGCCCTTTAAGTTTCCATCCAAACTCACAAATATATTTCTCTTACTAACTTACTGCAATGTTCATGTTTATTCATGTTTAATATTAATTATTTTCTTTTCCAGTTGCCAATAACCTTCCATCCCTGTTTCATATTGTAATATTAATGGTGTCCACCGGTCCCCTATCACTGCGTGCCTCAATTCATGGTCTTGTTATCAATATTATACACTCTTTATGTACATGTTCTCAATTGAATTTCAGTGGTAAGTAAATTTCTTTCTTTCTTCCTGACATTGTCTCTGTGCAGTGTGTCAAGAGAGTATTAAATTTGGCAATCTTCATTGAAATAATGCATTGCATTTAAATTGAAACATACATTATATTTATACATTTATAAACCACACAAAATCAGCCAATCAAATCATCACCTGGTTGTTGCAAGATTCAACTCAAGCTGATTGTTTAGTATTATGTGAAATATTTAATGACAAGCAAGGTCATTTGCTCACACAAGGAATACACCAAAAAATCACTGTTTATATAATGGTGCTATGTGTAAATTTCAAATTCTCTCAACAATATTTTTTTAATTATATTACTATTGTAAGGGATGTATTTTTTTAGAAACACCTAATAGAGATATGATTCTGAAAACATAATGCCATGATTTTTATTATATTGCGTTGGTGATTTTCACATAGAATTTGGTTTTACTTGTGTTAAACTGGTATAATTCTAATTCATTTTAAAGGGTTAGAATTTACTTGCTGTGTATTGCACGTTTTGTATTAAGATTTCAGGGCTAAAACACACTCCATATAGCATATGCATAGTTAGACGAGATGCATGACAAAATCAACAATTCTAGTATATTTCAATGAACTATAGAGTAATAACAACCATACTCTAAAAACAAAGCAAAAAAATAAAACAAAATACCATGTTTATATTTGTGAAAGAGATGACAGCTCTGGCAAATGACGGGAATGCTTTGAATAGCATCACAAGTTTGATTTGAACGCAATGCTGTATTGAATGTGTACGTTCCTCACAAGAACGATTTTTTTTTTGAAAAATATTTCCATTTTTGGAAATAAGTTATATTCAATTTACTACTTGTACCAATTTTCTCTGTTTTGATCAGTTTATCATACACCTTCAATCACTATGAACAGTACCCGCAACTTGCAATCAGTTAGATATTTTGTAATTTTTGCTTTAGTTTGATGTAATTTTTAGTACCGTAGTCAATGATACCTTTGGCTAGGTATTTCAAACTGACTTTAAATAAACGAATTGAATTGAATTGAAATTGAATAAGCCAGTTTATTCACTTTTTGGGTTGAATGACAGGTATTCTATGTGATAAAACTATCAATAAATGTTTCATTTGCAGAAGAAACCAAGAATGTTTTGAGGCTAAGTCTGACTGAATTTTCACTTCCTAAGTTCTATTTGTTGTTTGGTATTAGTAAAGTGAAATCAGCTGCTGTGACGGCATTTAGGAGTAGTTATCGTGATCGATCTGTCAGTCATTCTCCACAACAATGTGAACGGATGCCACTGAGTTCATTGGAGGTCATTGTGGATGCACTTCTAGAAATTATGGAGGTATGAATGATATTAATACGAGTTTATTGTGAGGATACTAGTAAGTATTCATCAGGACAGTGGAGAGAGACTGTACTGTCTGAGTGCATAATTTATGGTATCCTTGTAATAACATTATTGTTTAAAAGTACTCTGCCATTCCAGAGCCAGGTCTCGGCCGTCTATGGATGAATTTTGTTCAAACAAACATCAAACATTATGGAACCTTGATGTACCTTGATGTACAACATTTTGTTTCTCAGATCAAATTAAAAATGGCCCGACAGGTGGCCATTTTGTTTTAACAAAAGCTGTTTCAGCGCTATATCTCAGACATTCCAAAACCAAACATTTTTAAGCTTTAGATCTACATATGCACATGTATTCCTTCAAGATGGCAGAATGGCGGCCATTTTATTGTCAAAAAATCATCAAAATCAAGCAATTCTGCCAATCCAGTACCGGATTTTGATCATGTACAAACATTGGACATCGGTTAGTTTTTCTGATTGGATTCAAGATGGCCGAAGGGTAACCATTATGTTTTAATGAATGCAGTTCTAGCGCTAAATCTCCAACATGTCCTGACTGATCGTGGTGAAACTTAACATATACATCATGTTGCATTCATCTGATTCAGATTGCTGAATGCCGTTGTTTTAATGTTAAAAATTCATCAAACATTTCTGCATCCTCGGGTCTGGATCTCTCTCATGCATAGACAGATTTTGTTCAAACTTGTCCATTGAACTATATGGGATCTTAATGCATGTTTCTTTTTTTGTCGGATCGAACTCAAAATGGCCGACTGGTGGTCATTTTGTTTTAGTGAATGCTGTTTTGGAGATATATCTCTGACATTCATGTTTAAATCTTATATATTTCTTAAACTTGAGAACTCACTGAGACTGTAATGCAAAAACCTGTTTACTATGCCTATATCCAGCATTCATCCGGCATAGTTATTGTAAAACAAAAAAACATCTGCTGATAATTATAATGTTGGGGACCCTTTCTAAAATCAGCTGATCAGCAATCTACAGGGAATATTATGGGATGTATTGTATTTCATTGCAGGCATGTATGGAAGACATTCCTGATTGTGTTTGGCTGGAGAAGTGGACAGAACAGGGAAAAAGGTGACACCAGGAATATATTTTGAAGTCATATTAAGTGTTATTGATAGACACAAATTGTATATTTTTATTTACAATTATAAATGAATGACTTGTTATCTCAGAAAGCAGTTTTATCCATTTGAATCAAACTTGTTGACGCGTGAAATAATTTCTGTTTTGATATCATTTGTAGGTTTGCATTTCAATACAATCCAGCTCTGCAACCCCGTGCTATGGTAGCATTGGGATGTATTAGTAAATCCACAAGCAATTCACAGATCAAACAGTTACTTAGGATACTATCCAAGGTAAGTTGTGCAACACCACCTTCATATCATTTGTTATAGCGCCCTCATAGTTCTAATATTAATTTTATTCCCATCTTGCCATATGACCAATTAATGCCTGTACAGTACAGTACAATATTCGAAAATAGGAACTTATGGATTGACCGCTGTGTATGTGTTCATGCATCCATGTATGCGTTCGGACCTATGTCTTGGACATGCCCGGACCGATTACATTCAAACTTCAAACATACATCATACATAATATTATACATATGCACATCAATTTGTTTCATGATCTGATTCAAGATGGTAAAATGGCGGCCATTTTTGTATTAAAAAGTCATCAAAATCAAGCATTTCTTGGCTTGTATACAGATGAATTTTTTTCAACCTTGGTACATACATTGGACATTATGGTACCTTAATGCACGTCATTTTGTTTTTCAGATCAGATTCAAAATGGCCGACTGACATGCTTTGAATAATTGTGTTTAAATTTTGAATATTTATTTCACATCATCACATTGGTATCAGATTTATTGGTTTGACAATCCAATTCAAAATGGCCGACTGGTTTTGTTTTAATGATGTTGCAGCATTGATATGCAGATTGCCGCAAACCAACTTATCTGACACATACCGCACGTGGAACCTATGGGAAAAGTGCTCGAAACTATTTCCACATTGTGTCAACACAGGTGGCGCTATTCGGTTAGTTTGCGCCATTCTGTGTGTCAATGCAATATTGAGAAAAATTAGACCTTTGACCTCACAATTTACATGCATTTTATTAATAATAAAATGAAACATTCTGATGAGTGTTGCGTGTTATTGTAATTGATCAACTCATTAAAGAATAAATCTTGCTAAAAATCGGGAGAGAATGTGTTCAAAATAAGAAAAATACTTGTATATAGTTCTGCTGGAGAAACGCTGAGTAAAATGGTGGCGGATGGATATTTAGCCTTCAGAGGCTAGTTATGTGTCGTATGACACAGGTCTGTGCTGAATAGTGCCACCTGTTTGACACAATGGATGCTCCAGAGCAATATCTCTCAATGGGCCATTTCAGTTTATATCTGCACCCCCCTGTTGATGAGGTCAGATTTCCAGCACTGTATGATGGGGAAAATACCTCGGAATTCCAACTGTATATGGAGAAACAGAATCTGGAAATCCAGACCAGTATGGAAAAAAAATTCTGGAAATCCAGGCAGTTATGGCTACTAAATATAATATGGCCTAGTTTATCTCACCACATACCAGTTGATTAGGTTGGATTTCCAACACTGTATGACTAAAAAAATTTGGAATTCTGACTGTATTGGGCCAGTATGTAATAGTTATTACTGAAATTAGATAATGATAGTGGGACGAATGAGCTCATCAACACCGTGAATCAGGACTAGTTTGGATTTCCATTATCAAATATAAAATTTTTAACTTGGTAAATTAGCATATGATGAGAGTTATATTTGGAAATCCTACTCTGTATGGTGTCACAAAGGAACTCATCAACACCATAAGTAGTAACTATAGTTTTGGATTTCCATTACTGTATGGTGAATGGTGATTTGGAAATAAAACTTTGTATGACTTATACACCCATGGAAATTATACCCTGTATGAACACACAAACTCATCAACAGGGGGGGGGGGTGCAAATATAAACTGGAATGGCCCAATATGGACAAGTACTTGTACTATATTACTATAAACAAAACTATTAATATAACTTAGATTTGATAACTAACGGGGACTATGCCATGCATGACTTGTTATACATGGTTCAGTATCCCTAAGTTACTGCATGCCATAATTGTTGGTATCAAGCAGGGTTTCTGCATCCCACCTTACTAAGAAATTTAACGTTCAAATCACATAACAATACCCTCTAATTACTATATATTAAATATATCTCTGTTAGTAAAGTATCAATGCATCATAGTCACACCACGTTTGATTTGATTCCCATGGTACTAAATACATTGTTTGTAATTTAAAATTGATGACTACTATCACAGTGATTCTTTAATTAACTGATACTTTGCTCTCACCATTGTTTTTAGGCTCTGGATACTTTCAGTGATATTGTGTTAATTGATTCCATTGTCATGTGTCTTACAAGGTTACAGCCTCTTCTCCAGCAAGTAAGAATGCATTTATGTCACAACTTATCTGTTGCTATAGTTACAGCTTTGGTGTTCTGAAATATGTGATGCAACCATGATAGTGAGACGATAAATGAGCAAAGGCAAACTCAATCTGTGTGCAAAATAAACGCTAGTAATTTGTGAATTTGTGTCCGGTTTGGTGAAAGCTATACAGGAGCTTTGTGGCTTTGATATATTCCTATTTTCATTAAAGTCAGTTCGTTTTTCAAGGCTTTGTTGAGTGTGTTTCTATCGTATAATATCATTAAGTGTTTATAACATATTTGGATGTTGATAATTAATTTTGTACATTTTCCTAGGATTCACCATTACATAAGGCATTGTTTTGGGTAGCAATTGCGGTGCTGCAGTTGGACGATGTCAGTCTGTATGCGTCAGGGTTGGCCTTGTTAGAACAGAATATATTGACTTTGGACGAACAAGGTGTATTTGAAGACACGGTATGTATTTCAAAATTCATGACTATCAATGGTTGTAGCGTAAAAAGAGTGACAAACGATCTGTTGTATCATAATGCTTTGATTAATTAATAAAAATGTAGTATGATAGGTATGACAGATTAGTCTGTACCACCATCGACCCTAGAGGTACAAGTGGTTAACATTGTTTGTATAATTCACAGAGTCCAGAGGAAGTATTGATGGAGATAAGGGAACCTTTAGAATGGCATTTTAAACAAATGGATCATGCAGTAGGACTCAGTTTTGTCTCAGATTTTAACTTTGCGTTAGTTGGTCATCTCATCAAAGGATATAGGCATCCGAATCATGACACAGTAGCCAGGACGATCAGAATTCTCAACAAGTTACTAGCCATTGTGGCAAACTATAAAAAATGGTGAGTCTTCAACTCTCATTTCTGGAATAACTCTATTAAAAGTTTATTTTTTTCTTCTAAGTTTGGAATGAAAGTTTAGGAAATATATTTTTATAGTTAGCCCTTCAAACTTTGTTTCTTTGAACTTCTTGTCACTTTTCACAAAATAAACCAGCATAATTTGTGTCATATTTTGTTCAACAATTTTAGAAATTATAGAAAAATGCACAAAATTTTTGAAATATTGATTTTACAATTAAGTAGGAGAATCAAAGGTTATAACAGAAACATAAGTAGTTTCAGGTTTAGCCAAGCCTTCTCACTTTTCTTATTTTCCCTGACAGCGATAAGTTTGATGTAACTACAGAAAGTGTTGCATTCTTGGCTGCTTTACTCCCAGTCTCTGAAGAAGTGCGGAGTCGATGTCGAATGAAACATACACAGCCGCCAGGAACACCAGAATCAACACCTAGTGGAGAACCATTCGGATCCGATTCACTTCATTCAAGTCCATTTACAACTGCAATGCCATTACCCCCTCTTCCACCTAAAATGACAAAGAAACAAAAACAATTACAGGAACTTTCACCGCCGAGCGTCAAACAGCAGAGGAGCTTGGACTCTGCACTTGAACAACAACGCGTGCAACAAACAGAAGCTGAAAGAACAAATTTCAAACAGCCAAGGAGTCTTGATCTTGCACACGTGGGACCTAAAACGCAATCCAGCATAGATCTGAGTCACCATCGAGTCGGTATTAGTCCTGGAAACGAATCAATAGTAGCAGAGGGTATTGGAATACAAATCACAGAAAGTCACAAAAATGGGGAAGCAGCGAAGAAGAGGAAAGTTTCGACAATTGCAGAGAATAGTGTGCTGCTTGATGAGGAGGTGTTAACTGATAAACAAACGCAGGCATTACTATTAACTGTACTGGTAAGCATATCTATTAAATGAAAATTATTATCATCATGTACTTTATGGAATAGCGACATCAATTACAATAAATTTGTAAATATCACATACAGTTTTTAGGGAAATTCTAATGCCAATATATATTCATATATATTCTGACATACAGTTTACTCAAAAATCTAATCTAACTAAACAAATATCTATCAGTAACTAAAATCTAATAATATATTAAATCCACTTTTCGTATTAGTAACATATATTTACATTCATTCACATCAAGACCTGATTAAAGATTGTGTCATTGTGTTCATTATAATATCTTAGACATGTCAGTTACATTTAAATTTTACACATACTCTAAACAAATCATTTTTAATTTTGATATTATCGCTGATGATAAAATTCACTAAATGAAACTCACAGGAATATGTGAAATAACAATAGATCTTGTTGTTTCCTTGTCGAGTTTGAATCTGGACAATTATCTTATGTTTCACCTTAATAGGATTGTATTGTGTATGCAGTCAGTCACTGTGATTGCTTCTCTTTTGACAGGCCACACTTGTGAGGCATACCCCGGATGAAACAGAATGCAGAGTGTTGTATGAATATCTGGCTGAAGCTTCTGTTGTGTTTCCAAAAGTTTTTCCCATTGTGTAAGTATCCAGTTTCAGTTTCCAAGAACGATCACTAACAGATTAAAATTTGTGTGTTTGAGTGTGACTCGTCCATTTATCCTCCATGTTTTTCACTTTGACATGTCTACACCAATTAGTGTTCTAACTTGACCTACACGCATGTCATACATCTTAGGATACATACATGTATGCACGCTGAATTCACTACGTTCAATTACCCACCATAGACTCCGGTCAGTTCAAAAATTTTGAACTGTAGGCATTAATCAGCGATTCTGCCGGTGATGGAGAGATAGAATCCAGGTCAGGGGAAGCCCCATGACCTCAAGATTCTTTTACCCCTTACGTCACTAACCCACGTGACCGAGACCACCTGGCAGCACCACAGGTAGCCATCCATCACTCTGAATTTCTCTCCGCCTCGAGTGGATATGAAATCTAGCTAGCTCTGCTGGATCGCCTGCTTTTTAGCTCCGCTGTCGATTTTGTGGAGCGGAGCTTATCATATGAGTGATTGCCCGTCATCGTTTGTGTCAATGTTTTACTTATTCAACTTCTTCTTGAAAACTACAAGCCTGAATGCTTTGATACTTGGTGTATATGTACCTTGGGTAGACCTCTCTCAGATTTGTTCATTTCATGATCATATCTTCAATTCTCTAATTTTGGTGAATAATTTTGTCATTTTTGGTAAAAAGTGATATTTTTGACTTCTTGTTAAAAACCGCAAGTCCAATTGCTTTGATATTACATATATAGGTACTACATGTGGACCATTCTCAAATTTGTTCATTTCATGATGATATCTTTAATTGTCTAGTTTTGGTGAATATTTTTGTCATTTTTGGTAAAAAGTGATATTTTCTTCTTGTTAAAAACCACAATCATTTATGGTGAAAAATGATATTTTTGAATTCTTGTTGAAAACAGCAAGTCCCATTGCATTGATACTATGCATATTGTTCATTTTCTAAGGATATTGTCTGTTCTTTAATTGAAATGTGCATTACTAACAGCGGAGCTATCTCAGCGGAGAGGCTGCTTTTTTCCGGTCCAGATATATAGCTTGGGTTGTTGCCGCTGCATGGCATCCGACATTGTAGCTGTTAGGATAAGTTTTCCTTGTCATTTTTACCCTTGTGTCGTTTTCCCCTTTGTGTGTAGTATTTTTCACAACAAAGAAATTAAAATCCGGCGCCACTACGTAACCAGTTGCTTTTCATGGCGACACCTTTTACAACTGTAATTCGTTTCCCTCTTGCATGTCGTCTTTTATTTTCAATGTATTTAGCAATATATAGATGTAATGACAGCACCAGGGCTCGCTGCCGTTTTCTTTCCGGTCTCCTCGTGTTTCGAGTCGACCGTGCAGTGGTTATATTCAGAATTTACCAGCATAGAACCCGCATCCGAGATACTTTGTCATAGCTACGTGCGGGTTTTGGGGTTTTTGCCTGAAAGCGTGTTTTCTTCACTGGAGTTCTGAGGCCTGAGATTTTCTTTCAGAGCCATCAAAATCGCTGAGACTGACCGCATCACAGCAGTCGCGCGTCCAGTAAACAAATTGGTTAAAGTGAGTTGCGTGTTTTGCATGAGTGGAAAGTCCTCACGCTCGGCTACCGGTACTTCATGTACCGGGACGTCGAGTAAGAGGCCCGATGGTGGAGGTATCGATATTTTTCTCAGTCTCCCCCCGCTGATCGGAGGGCATCCTCACGTTCTGTTTTTTCAGGCGTGTTTACCAGATTTACCGGCTGCA